TACAACTGATCAGTTTGAGTCCTGGCCCCTGTGGGTTGGGGAACATGATGGCTTTTGTGCCTGCACAGCCAAAATCCCAACAGGATGGGAAATCAGAGAAGGGATTGCAGTATGACCACACTCCACTGGGAGGGTGCTTTCTCCTTATGTTTCTTTCTGGCAAGTGCACATATCCTCTGACAATTAAAATAACAATAATAATGATGATGATACTGTTCAACATGATAGTATGGAAGTAAAGGTACAGGTTTTGGTCAGACAACAGCTATATGACCTTTGATCATAACGATAATAACAGCTGTGTAGAAAAGAGCTAACAGCGGCCAGCAGGTGGCATAGTTTTTAAGGTGCTGGACTCCCACAAGACCAACCACAGTTCAAGTCTCAGACCTGGCAGCTTGCTTTCTCACTTTCTCTGTTTCTCTCTGGTGAGCACAAATGCCCTATAGCAAAATTGAAATTAATAATAATAATAAATAAATACATATTTAGAAAGAGCTGACATAGTATGTATATTTAGAAAAGTCAGCAGATGGTATAGCAGTTATTTCACTAGACTTCCACATGGCTGACCATGGTTTAAGTCCCAGACCCAGCGGCTTGAATCTCACACCAGACACATGTGCATACATGGCTGAGAGTCCAGGAGGAGAATGGAGAAGAAGGGATTGCAGTGTGGCCAACCCCTGGGGAGTGATTTCTTACTTTCCTTCTCACTGTCTCTGTCTCTGTCTCTCTCTCTGGCAAGTGCACACACCCTAAGACAAAAACTTCATTAAAAAAAAAAAAAGCCTGCTTACAATATTGACGTTTGGCTGGTGTCTGGGGACTTGATTTCAGAAAAATTCTCACCATTCCCTAAATGTTAATAATGGCTCTCTTTGCTTAAACTACTTGGGCCAACGGCATGGTGTATGCTGAACACTTGCTTTCTTCTGGAGTCTGGAAGTTTGGTATACGCCAGGCAGAGGGTGCATTCACAATCAGTCCCCAATAAAAATCTTGGGCACTGGCTGTCAAATGGGCTTCCATAGCAGTTGACTCTACAAGTGTATTGCCATAACTTGTTGGAGAAATTAGAACATCCTGTGTGACCACTGGCAGTAGACTCAGAAGCTTGTACCTTTTTGCCTCCAGATTTTGTTTCTTTTGTTTCTTTTGTTTGTTTGTTTGTTACCTTTTTTGGGAGGAGAGGGTTTTTTTGCTATGGGAGCGTGCACTCTCCAGAAAGACAGAGAGAGACAGAGAGACAGAAAGTGAGAAATCACCCCCCAGGGAGGATGGCCACATCACAATTCCTTCTCCTCCATTTTCCTCTCGGGATCTTGGGCACACACCCATATATGCCAGGAGTGAGTTTCAACCCTTCGGGTCTGGAACTCAAACCACAATCGGCCATGTAGGAGTCCAGAGATGTAACCATTATCCCATCTGGTCCCTTATTACCATTTTTTAATTTGCTATAGGGCATGTGTACTCACGAGAGACAGAGACAGAGAGAAAGAAAGCAAGCCACCAGGTCTGGGACTCGAACTAAAGCCATGTGGGAGTCCAGTGCCTCAACCACCACACCACCTGCTGATCCCTGGACTTCTTACTTTGTAATATTGCCTAGTTATCTTTCCATGTCAGAAACATACATCTCATTCCTTTTAATATCTGGTATATGCATGTATGTATTTAGATTTTTGCTATAGGGTGCAAGTACTCACTGGAGAGACAGAGAGAGACAGTGAGAGGGAAAGTGAGAAGTCACCCCAGAGGGGATGGCCATGCCACAATCTTTTCTCCTCCATTCTTCGGGAATTTTGGTTATACATGCTTACATGCTTGGTGTGATTTTCAAGCCTTTGGGTCTCGAACTCAAACCATGCAGTTGACCAAGTGAGATCAGCACCTTAACCTCCACGCCACCTCCTGGCCCCGCACAATTTACTTTTGACAAAAATATGCTATGCATACCATTCTCCAGCTTGGACATCTTATACTTTATAATATTACCTGGGTATCTTTCCATGTCAGGACACATACATTTATCGTTCTTTTTAATATCTGGTCCATATAATTTTTAACAATCTAATAAAACCAAACATTAACCTTTATCTCTCAGAAATTAATTTCATTTAAATGATTTCAATAATTCAAGATTAATCTGGCAATTAATATACTTACAGGATGCTTAAGTGTGCAGAGTTCATACAAGACACAGCCAAGAGACCAAATATCCCTAAGGAAGAAAAGAATTTACATGCCAAGAAAATACTCCCCCCCCTTTTCTTTTTAGAGAGGTTTTTGCTATAGGGCACATGCACTCACCAGAAAGAGAGAGACAGAGAGACAGACAGT